CCGCCGCAGAGCACTGCTGTGGGGTGCAGCGGCGGGCGGCGTTGTCGTTGTTGTCACGCTCATAGGCGTGCTCGCATCCGGCCTCACTCGCGCCGGTGCTGGCCGGGGCCCCGCGCCCCCTGCTGCCCTTGCAAACGGCGGCACCCCCGCCGGCAGTGGCGGCAGCAGCAGCGGCGCAGTGACCGACGGGAATTACTGCCTTAGCCTGCCCGAGTCGGTGCAGCAGTACTGCATAAAGTACTACAGCGCCCCCGGCAAGAAGCGATTTCAGGCGGCGCAGGAGTGGCAGCGGATGGACGCGACTACCTGTGAGTGACGCGCGCGTGCTCGCCCCGCGATGCCGTGCGGGGCGAATGAAGGGGCGCGGAAGCAAGGCAGGGCCTGTCCTTTCGCATTTTTCACTGCGCTCGCCTGGCGTCCTGCATGGACCGGACCCAGCATGTCACAACATCCGCAACCAAGGGGGCCGCAGGCAACCGAAGCGCCTGTGCTCGGATCGCACCATTAGCCTGCGGCTGCGACGCCCAAATTCAAGCCCTTGCTCCTTTATGACACCTGACCCTTGCTCCCCATCTCCGCCCCTCTTGCAGTCAACTGCGCAGGGATCGAACCGGAGTGCATCAATGCTGACCTGGAGGCGGACAGCCAGGGCGCAACCGCCTGCCGGCCGCTGCAGGACGGCGCAGCATGCTGGCCGGGCTCCGTCTGCCACCGCGGCCTGTGCGGAGGTGCGGTCGGCCGCGCTCCCGGGGGTGCAATGGCCGGCGTATGGCGGGACGGACAGAATGTCTGTGTGTCTATTTGATTGCTACCTGTTGTGCGGGCGGGATTCGCTTTGCAGAAGCGGGCAGGCGATGGTGCCACAGAGGATGTGTCCAAGCATTGCAGGGTGCGCCTACTTGGCAAGGCTGGCTTGCACTTGACGCGAGGCAGGGCCCATGGGAATGAGTGTGCAGTCTGGTAATAACGGTCTGACAGTTTCAGGCAAGCACGAATGCCAGCGGCCAATCAATTTCTTCCTCCCCATCACATACACACACACACACACACACACACACACACACACACACGCACGCACGCACGCACGCACGCACGCACGCACGCACACGCGCGTGCGCACAAGCATGCAGCAACGCATCACACTCATGCGTGATACCAATAATGCGAATCTAACAACAAGCACCAGTCGCGCAGCCCGATCGTATCGCAACCCTCTTCGTACCCACCAACAGGCGCCGACGAGCTCGGCATCAAGATGGAGTCTGCCGCTGTCGCCGCCCTAACCAAGGGTGGCTCAGACGCCGACGCCCCACCCAAGAAGGACGACAAAAAGCCGGACCCCAAAAAGCAGGACGCCGTCAAGAAGGACGACAAGAAGCCGCCGCAGCCGCAGCCCGCCGTCAAGAAGCCGCCATCCCCGCCGCCGCCGTCCCCGCCGCCGCCCCCGCCGCCGCCCCCGCAGGCGACGTACATGAGCGGCGGCCGGCTGGTCGTTTACGACATCCCGCTGCCGTCCCCGCCCGCGCCGGCGCAGCCGGTGGCGGGGTGGGCGACGGTGGCCTCTGTCGTGGAGTCCAAGGCCAAGCTCACGCGCGTGCCGCAGACGTTCCTGGCCACGAGTCACGAGTGGGACCGCATGATGGACTACGCGAACAACGTGGCCGCGTTCAAGAACATATTCCGCGAGTTCGGGCCGAGCCCGATCATCCGAGTGGGGGGCGCGACGCAAGACCGGATGGTGGGCCAGCCCGCCACGGAGATCTGGTGAGCGGCGGCGGCCGAGGCGGCGGCGGCGGCCGCGACGGCGGGGCGGCGGCCGCGTTGGGTTGTGTGGGAGCCGTCACAAGAGGGGCACGGCACCGCGAGGGCTCGCGAGCGTGCGGTCCCGCCCTCCCCGCCCTTTGACCCAGCCGGCACCCCACCCCTCGGCCCTGCATCACCGCTACCCCTCACCACTGTGCGCGGCCCGGCCCATGTGTCCACCCACCTCCCAACGCAATACCCCAGGGTGGCCCTGAGGAAGATGCACGAGGCGTTCAACGCGCGGTTCCTGATCGGCCTGCCCCTGCTGCCCTCGGACAGCATCGAGCGCGCGAAAACGATGATGAAGACGGTAGAGAAGTACATTCCCAAGAAGGCCCTCCTCGGATATGAGCTCGGGAACGAGGTTAGCGCGAGGGCGGGGAGCAGGGGCCGGGAGCGGGGCAGTGCCGTCTGTGAGCGGGGCGCCTGGGGGTTAAGGGGCTGCAAGCCGGCTTGATGGCGCACCTTCCAACTCCCGGCGAGCGCAAGGGCGGCCGGCTGCAGCGGCCGCTCTGCCTCGCTGCCATGCGTAAGGGCCTGCGCTGGAATACAGCATTCGCACCCCGCCTCCGCGCCCGCGCCCTCGCCTTCGACTTCACCCCCAGCCCGAGTTCTGGCCCGACAGCGTCGGCGGCTTCAAGGCCAAGGACCCGAAAAAGTTTGTCCCCGGCTTTGACGCCTATGCAGAGTACTTTGACCGCGTGGCGACCGCCATCAACGGCTGCCCCAAGAACGGCAGCGCGCCCAACCCGATGCTGTCCGGCCCCGGCTGGGGCAACGTGAACACCATCGACGCTAAGTGGCTGTCGAAGCACGCGAGGATGAAGGGGGCCAAGTGCTACATGCGGGAACTCAGTGTGCACGTGCGTTTTTGGCTGTGGCCAAGGGGTGGATGGGGTGCGATTTGGCTGGGGGCAGGGGTGGAGGGGTTGCGTCTAGGGTGGGGGCAAGGGGTGGAGGGGCAGCCACTGGCGAGGTTGCATGAGGGACCTGTGCGGCGCCATGCTGCGCTGCCCGCGCCCCTTGCGGCCTCATCATGGCATACAGCTTCCGTCCTGGACCCAAAGCTTGCTGCTGGCGCTGATTATCAGCAACCCTTTTCAAACAGCCTTGAACATTCACAAATCTGCAATGGAAGCCTGAAACCCAACATGCACGAAGACCCTGGCAAAGCAAACCTTCATACCCAAAAACACCCACCAAACCCGACCCCCCCCC